GAGTACTGTGTTCAGTTTTGGGTCCCTCACTACACTGAGGTGCTGGGGGGTGTCCAAGGAAGAGCAACGAAGCTGGTGAAGGGCCATGTTACAGGGGCAAACTTCAATTCAATTCAGGAATCGGAAGATACTGCCGGTTGTCTGAACTCGAAGGAACACCTGCTGGTGGGGCGCCATGTCCCACACAGTCCCTCGTCAGAAGCGATGCCTGGATTATTTATTAACTCAGTCATTGTTGGGGCTACAATCGAACTATAAATAAGAGCCTAGGGAGTGGCACATGAGACAGTGGCAGAACTTGGCTCAGTCTTAGCTTCTGTTTTTCACTTTGCTGATCCTTTTGTAATGGTGTCCCTTTTGCTCTGCACTGCTTTGTAATTTCAGACGTCAGAGGAAGACAATCAATTCCCACTCCCCACACTCCAAAAGCTGGGGCTGAACTCACAGTCTTCCTGTGATCACTGTGTTTCATGCACAGAAAAAAGAATAAGACTTTTTCTCCTTGCAGTGAGGCAGAATCGGAAAGTGTTCCCTAGAAACAATAAAAAAGAAGATCTGCTGCTAAACAACTTTCCTTTGAAACTGGACAACCTCAAACTTTGCTTTGCTTCTAGATGGCAGAACCAAATAGTCACATTAGCTGAAGCACAATGTGACCTGAGTGCAGCGCAAGCAACCAACATGGACAGCTTCTTGCACAGGCTTCCCATTCACTCAGTACCTGTCCTGGCACTACTCCTCTATAACCTGATAATTTATCTTCCATGTGACAGGCAGAACTGGGTTTTCCCCTCAGTCCCACCTAAACATACCACAGCACACTTCTGGTCTTGCTGTCATTATACTGCTATTTACATTTGTGTGCACTAAAGCTGAAAGTCTTGCTCCCACAGTAGCTCTCCTGGGATCAGCTTTGACCTTTTAATTGCTGTCTTGGACCCCGCTGTCACCTGAACAGTTCTCCTTCAAAGAATTTCATCTCTCAGCAACTAAGTTACAGCACAGAGATGCTTCATGTTTAATTATGTGAGTTAATTCTCTCCTTATATAACTCTCCCTCCCTAATTTGAATTTGGAGGCTGATTCTTAGAGACTTCCCTACATGGAGCTCACACATACCTGCAAAGATCAAGACCCTTCTAAGCAAGATAAGGGAAAGAATATACTTTCTTGGGATGTGGGCAATTACAATTCCAGCTCTGATACTGCCAACCCCCTTCACCCATGCCACTACCCAGTCAACTGATTTACTGCCATCTCCCCAGATCTGCTGCCATTTAAACTGGAGAGATCAGAATAAAGGATATGAATACAGCTCCAACATGCAACACAGCGATAAATATAAATGCCCAAGTTATTGTGGGACTTTGGCATGGCTATGTTGCACTGCAATAAAAGATCAGGAATTTGGGCTGGTTTTTTATGGCCTAGCACCTGACTTCATGCTAATAATAGCAACGGGCTCTGCCATACAGACGTAACTGTTTGCTCCGTTTTTGCAAAACCAGGACACAATGTCAACAGCTAAATTACTCTTCTGATAAAGACACCACATGATATCTCTTAGTCTCCATGACTCACTGAAGACATCAAATGCTTTGTGAATCAGCAGCAGCAGCTATCATCCAGTATGATTTACATCATTTTAGCAAAGCGGAATGACACACCACACTAGTGAACTAGTGAACTACAGACCAGCAGGAGCGTTCAGATAAGCTGCAAAACTTCCCTGGCCAGAACCCACACTGCAAAAAGCTGACTGGTTCCACATCTGGGGGGAAAAAAAAGGGAGGAGAAGGGGTAACAGCGTGTCAACAGTGTATGCCCTTCATCTGATGCACTGAGTGACACTCGAATGAACATTCAGACAATTATTCACCAAAGCACTTCCTTTAGGAGGGGGGAAAAAAACCCAACAGTGGAGCCCCCATGGCAGAGGTTTTGCTCTGCCAAAAAGGGAAGGTTGGAAAACCCTTCATTTCCAGCCTTTTCCTACTATTCCTTTTTAGAAGCTCATCCAGAAAGTCAGAGCAAAGATGGATCAAGGCAAAAGACAGCACAGAATTGTCCTTCTATAAAGCAGTCACATCTTAAAAGAAAACAGTCAAAGCATTTCTTGAAACTGTAAAAACTACTTTCTAGCAGAACTGGCAGGTACAGAAGGATACTTTGCCCTCAGCCTGTAGTACAGCGTGGCCAAAGTTCACTATTAGGCAAGCTTCATTAAACCTTTCTAAACGGTGCTGTTTGCTATCATTATTCAGATGTGTAATTTACTTGTAAAGTAAGGGAATTATTACCCTGGATATAACTTCTTTAATTATATGCACTGTTATTCTTCACGGCCATACGTAAATACTCTTCAAGACATTGCTCATGTGATAAAGAGAATCATGCACAAGTACTGTCACTTCTGCCTCTACTCAGACAGGCTGATCTTAATGGCTCTTAACCAGAGGAACTGTACAGTAACTGTTCCCTACCTGCTTTTACATGCATTTCTCCTCCAGCACCCAGCTTTCGCAGCACGCTTTCCATTTCAGGATCTTCAGAATAATTTGGTTAGTGTCCATTGAAACTCATTTAAACTAATCTCACAGCCTCATCCACTGAACAGTGTTGCATCTCCTAATCTGCAAGGGGTGACAGCAGGACCCTGCAGCCCTGATAACTGTGCATGCCAAGTGCTTCTTTTGTCTACAAGGCCTTCCCGACATGGGATTCTGATGATGAAAATACCAAGTAACTGCTGATCATCGCAGCAGGAACACAAACTGACTGCTTTCTCCAGAAAGACGAAAGGAGCGAGTTTGATCCTGTTCCTACAGAACTCCTATAAACTTCCCTAAGAAAAAACACACTTATCTGGGTGCTTGTGCCAACCAGCTTTCAGGGGGCTTCAGTGGATACGGACTCAAGGTATCAGAGGTCTTCCCCTACTATTTCAGCTGTCCATGATCATATGCAGAATGGAAAGTCTCCTGTAGCAGGGATGACTCCTCAGCAAGGTAAGGGTTATGTCTGTATGTCTGTACTTGCCCTGAACTGACACAGCACCACAGGGTACCAAAGAAGCGAGCACCTGCACTACAATGACACAAAGTCAGCCAGAATCTTCTAAGATGAAAAGTGTTCTATCAGCAAAACTTCACAAGAGTGGCACCTTTTGGGACACCAGTATTTAAGGGTTTATTCTCGCCTACTTCCACTTTCACCCATGCATGAGGGCACTCTGACACCACTGGGTTTGCGATGTTCCAACTTTGCAGTTTCCTCAGCTTCCCATGCTGATTCTCAACAACATACTGTTCTCTTTAGCTCTGCAGTTTGGATTGGAAATTGCTTTGTAAACTACTATATTGCTCACTATACCAGTTCCTTATACAGAAAAAGACCCGCTAGCCACAGGAAGAAATGAGCCTGTAACACAGGAGAAAAAAAAAAATGAAAATAAAAAATAAAATCATGTAGTTCACATTCTCAGTAATGTCCCTCTATTTGATCAAGAAGCAAACCACCAAAGCCCAGGTTATTAAAAATCATAAATTAATCCAATGTTTAATTAGAGAAAAATCAAAGCCTTTTCTGACTGGACAGGACACACATTTTGACAGGCCATCTCCTCTCTAGAAGGCTGCTTTATTTAACAAGGCACAATTACAAATTTCACATCAGTTTGGCCGCCTGGGTTTGCAAAAGAGGAATGTCTTGAGAAGAAGCAGAGAAATCAACAAATTCTGAGAACCCCAATTGCTGGATTGCTGCAAGAACTCTTGTGAAACATGTATTTGTCTTTACGTAATACATAACCAATGTCTAGGAGTAGGAAATATGTTGAGAAGGGTTGAAGTAATCCACTTATCTGATTATGCAGCAGAGTTTCTGACCATTTGAGCTTCAGCTCATTTCACTTCTCAGAGATTGATTCTTCTCCTTTATAAACGACAATGTTCTGGTCTGTTTCATATACTTTGACTTTATAAAGAGTTCCCAGGGGCAGGAGCTTCTTCAGGTTTTCCCAGATGAATACTGCAACATTCTCTGTGGTACTAGGATTGAAACACAAGCAGATTCAGAACTGGCAGCAATGAAACCTTAGGAAGCTGTACCCAGAATGGGCCAGGGGGGTTACTGAAGGCCACGGGGAGCCATGCGGGCAGCTTTCACATGATGACACCCTGAATGTAAGTGGGGCTTGAGCCATTTACATGGATGAAATGAGGTCTAATTAACAGGTCATATCTGTCTACCCAAGGCATCCACAGAGCAGGCTCATGTGACAAGTGCTAGTCTGCAAAGGGTTCCTCAGGCGTGAGCAAGTAGCGCCTTCCTCAGTGTGGGCAGTGAGGCTGCATGGCAGCAGAGCACCCGCCATACACAGGTGTGTGTCACAGGTGTGTTACACATACGTCGATCAAGGCTGTTCTTTCAGATTCAGGACTAAGCCTTGAAGACTGTTCCTTGACCAATACAACTGAGACCCCATCACCCACCTCACAACCTCAGCAAAGTACGGCACATCCTTATCCAGGTTTTTGTGGTCAAGCGGTTCCATGATTGCCTCCTGCAGAAAGAAAACAGTGACAATCCTGTCCCGGTTGGTCAGTGGACTTGAGGTTCAAATTACCGTGCACTTAGGACTGGAGCAAGGCAACAGTGTGTAAAAAGGAGGATAAGAACCTACATTCACCTGTCAACTTCCTAGCCAGAGACATGGTACTATCTCACATCACAGTGCTAAACCATTTTAGTCTTAAATCATTGCTTAATTTCTTCTTTATTTCCTACCATCATTACTCACCATGTCTCCATCCTGGTACCAGACAAATAGCTAAGCTCTGACCAAGTCTTCCAAGGGACATGTAGGAAAATAGTGCTATTACCTGCATATATTCTTTCAGGTCCGTCAGGTTTATAACCATCCCTGAGACTGGGTCAATCTGCAGGGAAAACAAAAGGGAGATTAGTAGCCTAGCTACACGTCCTTATTACCAAGGCTGCCGTGAGCCTGTACAAATCAGACTGTTAATATCTGTGCACTCAGGACATCTGAGCCACAAGAAAAACATCTTTCCACCTTCACACACTGAATTGCAACTCTACTCCTGTGATGTTCCCAAAGGCTAGATACAGCATACAAACAACTCTCCCAAAAAAGCTGACACCAGGGAGGAAAAACTCATTGAAACACTCAGTCTTCAAGCAACAATCTAGTATGACCATAAGCAGGAAAGCAGATGTTAAACTGCTGGGTTGAACAACCAGGGACAAAACAGAGACCAGGCTGAGCTTAGGGCATCCTCCCATCTGGAAAAGGCACAGGTCCAGGAACAAAATCAGGTTGTGTATTCACAGCATATTTGGAGAATGTAGAGGGAAGAGGCTTAAAAGTTTTAGTTTCTGACCTGAGTAGAAACCCCCTTTCTTATGAACTGGAAATTCTCAAGAAGTGGCTTAGAAAACATTAAAATCAAAGTGCTATCTAAACAACTCACTCTGCAGAATAAACAGAGCAATGACAGGATGAAAGGTGAAAAACGACTGCAAAAGCAGAATTTCCTTTTATGTTTGCAGCAAAATACCCTGATAAACCAGCAGAGAGAACCAGTTACTAGAAGTGCTAAGCCTCCTGGTGGCTCAGTAATCATCCAAAGGTGCCACACAATTTTGACCAGAGTCTATGCATCCTGCAGTGAGGCCTGGCAGACTAAGTTATGTGCCCAGAGGATGACTGCAAACCTTGGACTTAAATATGGTCACCTGCAAACCCTTCTCAGAGGCAAGAGGAGTAGGACGGTGATTATGGAAAACTTTCTTCTATAGTGATATGTAGAGAGAGCTTCCACAAACACCCAGGGAAACCTAGCAATGGAGCTAGAACTTCAGTACTGTGGAAGACAGGGACCCATCTATCCTGTCACTCTAAGGAACTGGAAAAAAAATGTTGATTGCACTTACCTCCCCACGCACGGTGACTATAACTGAAAAAAAAGAAAATATCAGGTCACTATGACACCATGAACCTAACAACCAAGTACACTTCTGATTGGGACAGACAACCCACTCATTGCTAATCCACAATCTGTCAACCCGTGCTCCCTGGTAAAGCCAGTAGCTCTGTAGTGTAAGTTTCAGGGCACCTACAACACACAGTGCTAAACAGGGAGCCAGCGTAATAACCAGAGAGATCTGATTCTATGTGCATAGGGTGTAGACGGTAGAAGAAGAACTTGTGACAACAACATTCAAATAAAGTTTACAGGCTGTTTAAATTGCTTGTCTTTTGCTTAGAAAAATCTTCATTCAAAACACAATGATTTTGCACAATGATTATAAACAAGTAGATTTGATTACCCGCCTGGACACCTTCCTGTGTGATCTCATTGAGGTTCCTGCTCTGGCAGGGGGTTGGACTGGATGATCTTTCGAGGTCCCTTCCAATCCCCAACATTCTGTGATTCATGAAGTGACATTCTGAGATAAATATTAACTATTTAACTTAATAGCTTGCAAATCCATACCATGGTTCAACCCACCCCTGCTGCTGAGGATTCCTTCTAATTCTAAAAAACCCCAAAACCAGCCACTAAAAGCCATATCAGACTGCTGAGACACGAGTGGCCTAGCTTTCCCATGGGTTATTCTGCACTCAAACCAGTGTGCCGGAGAGCAGCCCCTGTCCAGGACGACACGTGTAAGCATGGAGGTCCACTCCTTACCTTTGTAGTTGTGTCCATGGCCATTTGGATTGTTGCATTTCCCAAAGAGCTTCAGGTTTTCTTCATCACTGAGCGATTTACTGTGAGAAATACAGACATGGAATTTCAGGATCCATTAGAGATGTTTATGGCTTCACTTCACCTGTGATTGCTTTCTAGCTCTTCCATCTATTCATTCTCACAAATTCAACCCACTAGCTTTCACTACTCAGGAGGCACAAACAGAACCGGAGGAGTATTTGGACCATGAAAAGCTGTTGTTGAGAATGGGGTTTGGTTTTTTTTTGCTGTGGTTTTGTATTTCTATATGCAGGCTTCATAACAACTGCCTAAAACCACTACTGTATAAACACTAACAGCTATTCACATATGAATATGGCAAAGTCATATGGGCTCCTAGAAGGAAGCACCTGGAGCAAACTATGTGTATTATTATTTAACGAAAAGAGCTTGGGGAGCTTCTCTGAGAAATACAAACGACGACTTCCCTCTCTGAAGCTTTCCATTGAAGAAGTTCAAGTAGCTACTCCGAGTTGTATTTCAGGTCAATACGCTCTTTAGGAATATGTAAGTTTTGAGAAGAAAGTGACAGAGTAGGGGCACAGTGGATTGCTCACAAACTGCAAGCATAATTCGTCTCAAATTGATAAAAGCAAAACTTCACTTCTCGTTAAACCCGGTTAAGCACCGATGGCTGAAATCAGGAGTGGCTGCTACAGGCTGCAGACAACGGGTTGAACCGGGGAGAGCCGGGGAGCTCACCCAGGCACGGCGGCTGAGCCCCTGGCCGTGCGCCCGGGCAAACGCCGCGCAGCCCTGCGAGGCCTTGGTGCCTTCCCACGGAGGACGGCACCCAGAGCCGGGCAGCCGCGGGTGTGCCGCGTCCCG